CTACAGATGGAGCTGATCCACATCCTGTAGCTAAGCTTTCCACTATAAGACTGAACTAAAAATTGTTCCCTTTCCCTCCCAGAGCCCTGGAAAAAGGGGCAGAACCAAAACTTAACAATGATAGACAGGTCATTGGCCCTATAATTGCAAACCAAGGGAAGCCACCTTACTGCAAAATGCATGGAACCTTGGAATATATGCAAACACTCAATAGAAAGAAAATGAAGCTGAAGCTCCTGGTACAGCCGTACCAGCACTGTGCAGGTACAGCTGTACCAGAAGCTCCCACTTTATTTGCTTTGCATTAAGTGTTATTTGCAGCTCAAGGCTTGGAATTCTGCAGGAGGGTGGCTTCCTGTTAAAGCTTACAGTTATAGAGCAGGCCACCTGTCCATCATCATTAGGTTCCTTAGTTCCGCCCCCTTTTTGGGTTTTAGAAGGAGTGAGCCATTTTTAGTCAGTCACACACAAGGAAGCTAGTCTATAGGACGCAGATAGCTCATCCCGTAGGAAAAAGCTTCATTCTTCAGATCATCTGGGGATCATCCAGGAACCATCCGGGGAAATAGGAACAGAAGGAAAAGATCCCAAAGGCTCCGGCTGAGAGCTCACAGCCTCTCAGCCTCACAGCACCAGAGGGGAAAACAGCCCTGAAGTTCCCACAGGACAGCATTACAGAACCACTGAATTCCAGCTGAAGTATCTTCAAGCCTTGGCTGGTAGGTTTACTCGGTGCCCAGAAGCAGTTGGGATTGGTAGTAAGACCCAAATCAGCGAGGCCCAGATAATAGACAGCTTGGGAGAGATTATAAAGGGTTCTTCCTTATGCTAAGAAAGTACAGTTAATTCAAGTCAGTGCCAGTCTCTTAAAGACTAGAACAAGAAAACTTTGAAGTGTTGTCTGAAGATTTGTTATCTGTTCCTTAATAAAGACTTTGTTGTACCATTAAAGACTGTAAAGACCATCGCTTCAGGAAATCCCTAAGAATCTCTCTTTGAGGCACCCCGGCTTCCCACTGGGTTTAAAGTGTACGTCCTATAGATTAAAGACAATTTGTTCAGACCCAGTGCGCGACAGAACAAGCACAATTACCTTTTCCTTAGAATAGCCAGGTCAGATTGTATTATTCAGCAAGATCAGGGATGGAAGAAGGCCACCGTATTGGCAATTTTCACAAAACATTTCTCCTTTCTAATATCGAGTTACAGAAAGGAGACAGAATACATTGAAACCCCCCAAAAGCTGTTAGTATCGATTTTGTTGGTGGCAGTAGTGTTAATGTTTTTTAAGCTGCTGGCTAGTGCTGTTTATCTTATTGTTATCTTCATGTGTCAAAAAGCATACAACTACCAAGAAACTATGTTTTCCTGGAAGGAAGAAACAACTCCAGGAATAAGGTCCCTCACTCCAAACCTGAACAAAAGAAGGAGGGGGCTGAAGGAAAGGAAAGGTCACATATAGTTGGGTACCTTTTTTATTTTTCTTAAAATCAGCCGGGAAATAATTTTCATATTTTACGACTGGCTTGTAAAGCCCCAATCTAAATAAACACCACAAACTGGCACACGTGATGGATGACTTGAATACTGAGAAGCCAGGAGGTCAATATTGGTCTGTCTGTCTGTGTGTGAAATAATGAAAGTTATAAATCTTTGGGGAGAGTGTGGGTTCTCTTGCCTCCCTCTTAAGTTTTGGGATTTGAAAATGAATAATTGTTTTTTTTTCCTATGGAAAAAATATTGCACTGACACCTGTTTGCATGGGCAACAAATATTCCCCTCAATCCAATTATAACTTTATTTTTTAGGTGACTAGGGCAGTGTATACCACACTTATTGCTTATTGATGGCATCTTGTGCATATGCAGAGATCGCTTTCTTATTAAATGCCCTTCCAATAATAACATCAAAAACAAGACAGATCCCTGGTTAAATAAATCTTTGTTGACTGACTCTATGAGGTTTCATTGATTTTATTAATGTAGTACAGAGCTAAAAACAATAATCTTGATGCAAAAAGGCATCCACAGTTTTTCAAAGATAGTCCTGTGTGAAATACAAATGCCTTCTAGCATAGTTCAGCTTTAGAACTATAGCTCAACCCCTGTATCCACGGAATATATAGTCTATCATTCATTCATTCATTCATTCATTAGGTGATCCCTTGTTTTCTGAGGATGATTGTCTTCCAATATTCTTGTGGGTCCGTATGTGGTTGTGGAGCCCTATTCTTGCTCTGCATCTTCTTCCACAGTGAGGGCATTGGTTTCCAGGTGGAAGGCGGTCTCGGTCGGGGTTGGCTTGATGCGCCTTCCTCTTGGCATGCTTCTCTTTCACCCTCCATTCGTGCCTCTTCAAATTCTGCAGCACTGCTGGTCACAGCCGACCTCCAGCTGGAGCGTCAAGGGCCAGGGCTTCCCAGTTCTCAGTGTCTATGCCAGAGATTTTTAAGGTTGGCTTTGAGCCCATCTTTAAATCTCTTTTCCTGACCACCAACATTTTGTTTTCCGTTCTTGAGTTCGGAGTAGAGCAGCTGCTTTGGGAAACGGTGGTTGGGCATCCAGACAACGTGGCCGGTCCAGCGGAGTTAATGGCGGAGGAACATCGCTTCAATGCTGGTGGTCTTAGCTTCTTCCAGCATGCTGACATTTGTCCGCTTGTCTTCCCAAGAGATTTGCAGGATTTTCCAGAGGCAGCGCTGATGGAATCGTTCCAGGAGTTGCATGTGAGGTCTGTAGACAGTCCACGTCTCACAGGCATATAGCAGGGTTGGGAGGACAATAGCTCTATAAACAAGCACCTTGGTATCCCTACAGATGTCCCGGTCCTCAAACACTCTCTGCTTCATTCGGAAAAATGCTGCGCTCGCAGAGCTCAGGCGGTGTTGTATTTCAGTGTCGATGTTGACTTTGGTGGAGAGGTGACTGCCAAGGTAGCGGAAATGATCAACATTTTCTAACGTTACACCATTAAGCTGTATACAGTCTAAGAACCTCCATGAATACTTGAAACCTCCAAGAGATTCTTAGTTCTGAGAACCTCCATGAATACTTTACAACCATGGTAGATCAGTGGTTTTAAACTTGTGGGTCCCCAGATGGTTGGCCTTCGACTCCCAGAAATCCTAACTGGTTGGGATTACTGGGAGTTGTAGGCCAAGATACCTAGGGACCCACAGGTTGAGAACCACTGCTATCATAGCAAACCCTATATTTTAACTATATGCAGGTCAGGAAAATACAATAGAATCACACTGGAGGACCTAGAAAGGCCCACAAATACTTACGAGATAAATATTATTTTGACATACGGATAAGCAAACCATGGATATAGAATCTGTGGATAAGGGTGTTGTACGATAGATGTGTTCATATGAAACTTCATGAAAGAAACACTTTAATTTATTCATGTTGCAAATTTATATATAGCTTGCTTACTTACTTAGGCGATCCCTCGTAGTCCAAGGATGATGGTCCTTCAAGTTCGGTGTCCTGGCAGTGGGTCCGTAGGTGACTGTGCAGCCCTATTCCTGACCTGCATCTTCTCCCACAGTGAGGGCATTGGTTTCCAGGTGGAAGGCGGTCCTGGTTGGGGTTGGCTTGATGTGTCTTCCTCTTGGCACATTTCTCTCTTTCACCCTCCATTCATGCCTCTTCAAATTCTACAGCACTGCTGGTCACAGCTGACCTCCAACTCGAGCACTCAGGGGCCAGGGCTTCCCAGTTTTCAGTGTCTATGCCAGAGTTTTTAAGGTTGGCTTTGGGCCCATCTTTCAATCTCTTTTCCTGCCCACCAACATTCCGTTTTCCATTCTTGAGTTTGGAGTAGAGCAACTGCTTTGGGAGACGGTGGTCGGGCATCTGGACAACATGACCAGTCCAGTGGAGTTAATGGTGGAACCATCACTTCAGTTGCTGGGATTTATAGTACACCTATAATCAAAGAGCATTCTGAACTCTATCAATGATCGAATTGAACCAAACTTGGCACACAGAACTCCCATGACCAACAGAAAATACTGGAAGGATTTGGTGGGTATTGACCTTGAGTTTGGGAGTTGCAGTTCACCTACATCCAGAGAGCACTGTGGACTCAAACAATGATGGATCTGGACCAAACTTGGCACAAGCACTCAATACGCCTAAATATGAACACAGATGGAGTTTGGGGAAAATATACCTTGACGTTTGGTAGTTGTAGTCACTGGGATTCACAGTTCACCTACAATCAAAGAGCATTCTGAACCCCACGAACGACAGAATCGGGGCAAACTTCTCAGACAGAACCCCAATGACCAACAGAAAATACTTAAGGCCATCCAATCCAACTCCCTTCATCAGGGCAAGAAAACGTAATCAAAGTCCTCCTGACAAAGAGTCGTCCAGCCATAGATTAGATAGATAGATAGATAGATAGATAGATAGATAGATAGATAGATAGATAGATAGAGATATGCTTCACACAGACATAGATTTGAAATGGACCCTTAAAGGAGGTCAATGATATGTTGCATGTTCCAGGGTGGGCAAACCAGACATTCTCCACATCAACACTGATAAAGAAATAGCAAGAAATACTGTTTACCCACAAGCATAAGGAAACTACATATATTAGAAACCAACACTTTCTCATTACTTTCTCATTACTTTATTTTCCAGACGTGGCCACAGCAACGCGTGGCAGGGGACAGCTAGTGAATAAATACATTTCACAGGCACCAACTGGCTTAGCTTCATCGGTGTGGCTCCATTATATATTTTCAGAATCTGATCTGAATGCATTTCTAACCTTTAGTTTATCTAAAGAACATAATCACAGCGAATAACCACAGAACATGGCCGCAGGGAATGTTTCCTGGAACAAAACCAGAATTTGGACTTCCTAAATTACGACTGTTAGTAATATTCTTGATTGTGCCCACCCTGATACTGGGATATATGCAAAGCTTTATAGACTGCCAAAAGCTAGACTATATTTTGTCTCTTTTTTTTCCTTGTCAGAATCCTCAGCTGATAATCTTGAGAAAGAAGCTTCAAATGGCAGAGACCCAGCCATCTGGCACGTTGCCTTGAAAGTTGCTTGGGATATAAAGACTCCAGGATTGGCACTGCCGCTTCGCCAGGGAGACTGCTACTTTATGCTCGGTAAGATTCAGATCCAGAAACGCCATCCATTCTCTTCCTTCCATTCAACCCTCCTCACTCCTACGGTACCCTGAAAATTACTGGGAAGAGGCTATAAAAGCAAGTATAATCCAAAACTAATGAAGGAGGGTAGTTGTGACTGTGGTGCATAGGCATAGTCAAAGTGCTATATACTGTGAAGATAGACAAGGAATAGGTTCTAGCTTAGGAATGAGGATCTGGAAACCTGGATTCAGTAATAAGCAAAGTTCTTCAAGCAATTGGCTTTAGAAAAGGTAGGTGGCATTCTGGGAATAGATCAGAAAACCAGAAAACTTCCAATTATACCTACAAACAAAGAGACACATCTCAAGGTTGTGTGAAATGAAGTTTATTATTGAAAATATTTTGGATGAGGATACATTCCAAGACCCTCTGTGGAACCTGAAACCATGGATCATAGGAAACTATCTGGCTAATTGGGCTAGAGACACACCATAGAATTGCACTGGATGACCATATATATATATATATATATATATATATATATATATATATGTATGTATATGTATATGTATATGTATATGTATATAATATATTAATATGTTATTAAGACACAATATGAGGATTTAAAGATTGAATTGCAAAGACTGGCACAAGCCAGTCAAAGTGGTCCCAGTGGTGATCGGCACACTGGGTGCAGTGCCTAAAGTCCTTGGCCTGCACTTAAACACAATCGGCGCTGACAAAATTACCATCTGCCAACCGCAGAAGGCCACCTTACTGGGATCTGCAGGCATTATTCGCCGATACATCACACAATCCTAGACACTTGGGAAGTGTCTGATGTGTGATCAAACACAACAGCCAGCAGTTTGACCTTGTCTGCTGTGGACTCATCATGTTGTGTTTCAAATAATAATAATAATAATAATAATCATCATCATCATCATCATCATCTTTATTTATATCCTGCCACCATCTCCTCGAAGGGACTTGGGACGATTCATAAGGCACATATAACATACAACAGGTAAAAATGGTACAAAAGTATAGCACAAGTTACATAAAATTATAAAAAGAACCGCGGCTCCCCTCCGGTCAACACACGTAGCATAAAATCAAAATAATACAATTTTAAAACAACAGTAGAGAAAACTAACTATTCACAAGGTACCAAGTGTCATCTTCATATGGACCCATTCAGCCTACTCAAGGCAAAGGCCTGTCTGAACATCCATGTTTTTGGGTTGGAATGGAAGGATTGAAGGGAGGAGGGTAATCTAATCTCTTTTTGGGAGGGTATTCTAGAGCTGGGGGCCACCACAGAGAAGGCCCTTCTCGCGGTCCCATCACCGTCTCAAGCATGGTTGGTGGGAACGAGAGAGAGGGTTAGAGATACTTTTGGGAGGGTATTCTAGAGCCAGGGGCCCACCACAGAGAAGGCCCTCTCCCTCGTCCCCACCAACCATGCTTGAGATGGTGGTGGGAACGAGAGAAGGGCCTCCCCTGTCAATCTCAGAGCCTGTTCTGGTTGAAAGAGATGCAGCCTTGAAGATAGGTTGGACTCGAAGCATATAGGGCCACAAACCTAGAGAGGCCCACAAACCTTTCTGGGAAAGGGAATGGCAAAAAGCCCATGGATATTGAATCTGTGGATAAGGAGGAGAGGATACTGCCCTTTTTTGAAATCTATATATTTCAAAATACTCAGAAGAATGAGTGTGCTTTTAGTATTAATTTTTTTTTGCTCTTTTGCCCCTCAAAGAATTCCTAAAATCTTTTGAGCTCAAGTGCTAGAGAATATAATCAGACCCTTTGTTGCAGAGGGAAAGGGTGGATGTGAAGAGGTGTTAAAGATGACATTGTAACAGTTAGTTCAAACACCTGCTTTTAAGCTTCTTCCTTTATGAGTTTTTTTCCTGGTGAATATCAAACCACACCTGGAATTGTTCAGTTTATGGTGAGAATGGATAATCACTTCTCTCTATTTGTTTTTCCAAAGGGTTAATTGGAAGAGATCTTGTTCCTTTCCTTGTATTTGTACAGAAGCTTTTTCTTCATGTGTGAAACCTGATCTTTACAGCTTAGGTGAAAGAGAAACACTTTAGTCTGATTTATGAAAATATACTTGTATGAATATGTAACTTAGCTTCAACACTGATTTTCAATATTTCACCAAAAGCAATGGCATAGCTACCACTGCAGTATAATAGGGTTGCCAGGTCTGGTCTGATTATGTGCTGAGATTTCTATGCCAAAACTTGGAACGTAGGGATTTGTAATATCATACTAGATGGACCTTGGTGATGCTACAAGTGTGATGTTGCATAAAGAGGCGCCTGGTACTATCATTAAGAAGAATACAGTAAGCCTCATAATTGTTGCACTCCAGAACAGGAGACAGCAAAGCCTAGAGAAGACAATTATGCTGGGGAAAGTGGAAGGTAAAAGGAAGAGGGGGCGACCAAGAGCAAGAGCAAGATGTATAGATGGCATCCTTGAAGTGACTGGACTGACCTTGAAGGAGCTGGGGGAGCTGGGGGTGGTGACGGCCGACAGGGAGCTCTGGCATGGGCTGGTCCATGAGGTCCATGAGGTCATGAAGAGTCGGAGACAACTGAACAAATGAACAACAACAGAACAGGAATAACCCTCTGTTGAGTAGGGAAAACAATCCTTTTATTGAAGATAAGTAAAAACAGCAAAGTAAAAAAGCACTGTAAAGGAATAGGTAAATCCAATTAGGTATGAAGATAAGCAGGAACAAATTAGCCAAGGTAGAGTTCAGCAATGTCCAAAAGCAAAGCCCACAAGTCTCTAACAAAATCCAAAGAACCAGGAAACGTTCCAAGGACTGAGCAGGTAATCACAAGAGACAAAAAACCAAACAGGAAACAAGAAATCTTTAAGCGTGAATCTTCCAAGCAAGGCTTGTATGAGACGAGAACAAGAACTTAGCAGGATTCTAAACGATGCTTCATCTGGTAATATTTTCCATGCTTGGAACTTTAAACCTTTCCAAGCACTCAGAAACTGGTTTTACTTTCCTTTAGCGGCCCTTATCTTTTTGTTTTGAAGCTGGCAGAATGCCGAACGCCTTGCTCGGCCTGTCTGTTTTGACTAATTTCCACCCGCCTATCTATATGCTCATTAGTCTCCACAGTCTCCACAGGTGTCGAGTTGTTTTCAAGCCCCAAATCCTGGAAACTCTCTGGGAGCAATTCAGGGAGTAAACCATCATCCATATACCCTGTAGGAACATTCTCATGGGAAACTACACTTGGAACAGGTGCCTCTCTGTCATTCTCTGCATCAATATCACTGACCAAACCATTGCCATCTTGAATCTCATTTACATCATTCCCCACATCCAAAGCACTCTGATCCTGGAACACAATCACAGGCTGAAGTCTAACAAGAATGAGCATTAGTCTTTTGAAATACATAATTCAAACTAAAAACGTCATGCATATACACATGAGAAAAATACAGGTTTAGTCTCCCTTATCTTGAAATCAAACATCTAAGAGACTTGAAAAGTTTTATTTACCACCTGCACATTTCTGCTTTTGGGGAAGGGGGACTAGTCACACGTCCAATGCTGAGTTTTTCCTTAGGGAGCTCTGATGGGGAAAATAGAATAATGAGAAAGTGAAGAGGACTCTACTTACACAACATCCTTATAAAAAATGAGACACCAGGGATGCTTTTGTGTCCCTTTTTACCTTTCCAAGGGGCGATTTTAGCAAAGTCCTGGTTACTTTGTTAAAAGGACAGAAAGTTTGTTATCAGCTGAGAAGCATTTGAGACATCTTTTTTTTTTTTACAGGAGTTTTGTGTGAGCAGAGTCTTATCATCTTTCCCATCTTCTTTTCCCACTATCAGGAACGTTTTGAGGAAAAACTCTTTGGATGCTGGATGTGTGACTAGCCCCCTTCCCCTTTCTATCATTCATTATGTGTAAGCAAATACTAGTTATCCAAAAAGTGGAAAAATCTGAGATCTGCAAAACTTCTGGTCCCAAGCATTTTGAATAAGGGAAACTGAATCTATCTCTCTCTCTCTCTCTGTGTGTGTGTGTGTGTGTTTATATATACACACAGATACATGCACATTTTCAACACAGTCCTCTCACACTGAGATTCTTTCATTTGCTGTTGACTGGAAAAGAAGGGACTAGCCCTGAGATGCTAAGAACCCTCCAGATCGTCTGGGAAAGCCCTGCTCTCGGTCCTGCCTTCATCACAAGTATGGCTGGCGGGGATGAGAGACAGGGCCTTCTCAGTGGTGACCCCTTGGCTATGGAACACCCTCCCTAAGGATATCAGATCAGCCCCCTCCCTTCTAACATTTCGAAAGCGAGTCAAGACTTGGCTCTTTGAGCAGGCATCATACAGGGAGGATACTACCCCCCTGTTATGTCAACTCCACTAGCTGCCGATCCAGTTCCGAGTGCAATTCAAAGTGCTGGTTTTGACCTACAAAACCCTATATGGCTCCGGTCCAGCGTACCTGTCTGAACGTATCTCCTTCTACATCCCACCTCGGAGTTTAAGATCTTCTGGGGAGGCCCTACTCTCGGCCCCACCTTTATCACAAGTGAGACTGGTGGGGATGAGGGACAGGGCCTTCTTGGTGGTGGCCCCTCGCCTGTGGAATGCACTCCCCGGGGAAATTAGGTCATCAACATCCCTCCGCTCTTTCAGAAGGAAGTTAAAAACCTGGATATGGGACCAGGCCTTTGGGTAAGCTGGCGGATGGATAAAAGACAATGACGACCAGAGTAGGAAAGGACAATGACAATGCTGGATGGATTATGGATTTATGAATTGGCGAACGTTGACCACAAGATGATTTTATTGCTGCTATTGTATTAATTTGATTGTTTTAAGTAGTTATAACTGTTGTATTTTGTATATTGTATTAAGTGAACTGTTGGGCATCGAATTGTGCCTTTTTGTAAGCCGCCCTGAGTCCCCCCCTCGGTGGTTGAGAAGGGCGGGGTAGAAGCACTCCAAATAAATAAATAAATAAAATATTTCCAAATACAGTGTAATAGACATAGAAAAATGGAATGTTTGGACGATGTGATTGGACAATGTTTTTGATAATAGAACCTTAATGTTCATGGTTCTATTGATTTTGTTATGGTTTTATTATTTGATTGTTTTTATTGTATTGAAATTGTATTTTATGGTCTTGGCACCAATTGTAAATGGCCCAGAGTTGCCTGGGGGCTGAGAAGGATGGTATATAACTATAGTAAATAAATAAATAAATAAGAACTTTATTGGAACAGGAAGACACTGTCCTTTGGCCATTGAGTACCTCCTTCTGAAACCTAGTTTTCCCTGATTCTTGGCATGACAGTGATCAGGCTTATCAGGCTGATTTGGATGTCTTGCCCAGGAGCCCCATCCACCATGCTATACTATATTATGGAATTTCTGCTGCAAAAATGACAGAGGAGTAGGATGCAATATATCTGAAGCACGTGGACATGTCTTCGTTGATCCCGTCTGTTGTACTTTCGCAGCATGGCTAAGTCAAGTTGTCATGGTCTTGGCACTAAATTGAAATCCTCTCCTTTCTCCTCCCATAGACCCTCCATCCTCCCACTCTTCTAGAAGTAGCCATGACTAGGTTTTGCTAACAGATTTACAATGATCACTAATTTTTCTGACCGTGACTTCAGAACACAATGAAGCAAAACACACTCTGGGGCTGTTCAAAGAGAGAAGTCTGAAGTTCACCACAGCTGTTTCCTATACATCAAAAGTTGCTTGAAAGGTTAGGGGGTTTACACTGGGTTTGGAGATGACTTCAGCAGCCCTTTTTTTTTACAGGCAGGGAAGGGAGGTCGGCCTGGGCAAGGGATTGAACAAATTATAGTTCAAGGAGCATCAGGACTTTTTTTATTAACCAGAAATTGGGAGCACACATTTAGTATGGATGGGCTATGGTTGAAGGAACGGTAACATTAAATAAATAAATAAAAACATTCCATATGTATAGTCTGGTTCATTCCTATTTCCTTCCAGTTCATTTCCCTCTGAAATTTGACCCCTTCATTTGATCTCTGTACTTGCTGTATCTTTATTTGCTAAGACCCTGAGCCCCTGAAAATTATTTGTTGTTGCCAAACTTTGATCATGTGAAGTTTGGTAAGTCTGCTACATCTTGTTCAATTGTCTGCTAATTAATCATAAGGGGCTTCTCTCCTCCTCCTTTCTCTCCCTGCTTTGTGCATTCTTCTTCTGGTTCTTACAGAATGATGCCTTATTATGCTTATTCGCACTCTATGGTGGCTCATATTTTTGCTTTACATCTGCCAAGTGAGAGGAAAGTTTGCCCAACCCCTGCTTTCTGTTTCCAACAGTGGCGAGCCAGACGTCTTGTTGAAAGCCTGGAGAACCTCAAGTGCTGGGGCCAAATATACCAGTGTGTCCTTTTGAGGTCCTCCAGAGTCCCACATTCCCTTACAGTGTGGAAGCTTCAAAGCTTTAATGAGGAGCGGCTTAAGGAGCTGCTCATGTTTAGCCTGAAGAAGAGAAGGCTGAGAGGAGATATGATAGCCATGTATAAATATGTGAGAGGAAGCCACAGGGAGGAGGGAGCAAGCTTGTTTTCTGCTTCCTTGGAGACTAAGACGCGGAACAATGGCTTCAAACTACAAGAGAGGAGATTCCATCTGAACATGAGGAAGAACTTCCTGACTGTGAGAGCCGTTCAGCAGTGGAACTCTCTGCCCCGGAGTGTGGTGGAGGCTCCTTCTTTGGAAGCTTTTAAACAGAGGCTGGATGGCCATCTGTCGGGGGTGATTTGAATGCAATATTCCTGCTTCTTGGCAGGGGGTTGGACTGGATGGCCCATGAGGTCTCTTCCAGTTCTTTGATTCTATCTATGATTCTATCTATCTATGATTTTGTGTGTATTTTTTTGTTGGTCCAATAAAGGTACCAATGCTTTGTGGATTTTGGAGGTGGTTCCATTACAGTCTTGTTTTGGTGGTTTCTCAGACTTTTAACTGAATTTTAGCCATCTTGAAAAGTTGACATGCCTCTTCTAAAATTGGATTGCTAGCAGGAAGAGATTTAAGCAAAAATAACAGCCTCATGCAATTGGCTGTACTGGCCAAAATCTGTAAATTATACACCAAACCATCTGGAGCATGAGAGGTTCCTCAAGCCTGATTTAGAGAAAGACCATGAAGGCAGTAGTACCCTATGATTCTTCTTTTGCAGAATCTGCTCTTTAGAGATGCATTACTATATAGCTTAGTGTTTCTCAACCTTCCTAATGCACAACCTCTTAATACAGTTCCTCATGTTGTGGTGACCCCCAACCATAACTTTTTAGTTGCTACTTCAGAACTGTAATTTTGTTACTGTTATGAATAGTAATGCAAATATCTGATATTTGGAGTTGTAGTTCACCTATCTCCAGAGAGCACTGTGGACTCAAATAATAATGGTTCTGGACCAAACTTGGCACAAATACTCAATATGCCCAAATGAGAACACTGTGGAGTTTTGGGGAAAATAGACCTTGACATTTGGAGTTGAAGTTGCTGGGATTTATAGTTAATCTAAAATCAAAGAGCACTCTGAACCCAGCCCATGAGGGATCTGCACCAAACTCAACATGCTACCTACATGGCCAACATTGATTACTAGTGGGGTTGGGGGGGGTGCTGTTTTTGAATTTTGGGAGTTGTAGTTCACCAACACCAAAAAGAAAGAGAAGAACAGGCAGAGAGATATCCAGCCTTTTCTGCCAAAAGGGCTCCTAAGACCATCAGAAATATTTATGTTCTGATGGTCTTTGGTGACCCCTCTGAAACCCTCTCGCGACCCCCTCAGGGGTCCCAACCCCCAGGTTGAGAAACACTAATCTAGCTCTTACAGTATAAGAGAAGTCTGAAAGCTTTAGCCTTCCAGGTACTTTTGCTTACAGAGCTCATTGACCACACCTAGCATGATCAATGTTCATGGATTATGAGAGTTGTAGGCACAAACATCTGCATGGAGAACATGGAGAACATGTACAATGTCACAGGTGAATGTCTATCTCATACATTTCTGTGGTTGTGTGATGTGCCCTCATTGTGTTGCCAGAAATGACCTTCAGTTAGCTTAGGGTAAGCGATAGGGAATGGAACAGGGAAACCTAATAAAGCTTATGGCACATGTATGTTGTTAATGTCCTAGAGTCGCTGTATTGGGGAAAAGTTGAGATAAAAACAGATGAATAAAGATTGAATTTAGATGTCATGATTGAGAAACTTCATCTCCACTTTTTGCCCTTCTCCGTGATTGACCATAATTCTTCACTGTGTATTCCCAGATGATTTGAATATGACCCACCAGCACTGTGTCCTGGCTGGCCAGCAGCCCCGATTCAGCTCTACCCATAGAGTGGCAGAGGTGAGTATGAGAGGATTGGGCTGCCATTGCAATGATTGTGATTGTCACCACCATCATCCTTCTCTTCCCTTTTCTCCACCTACTTTTCTGCTCTACTTTCAAAGGTAGTCCAACCCACCCAATCTGCATAACAGTTGTCCTTCTTTTAGGGCAATAAAAAACAACATCATTATCATAAGCGTCTTCTAGTTAAATAGCGTTGTCCACGTTCCATTGTCAAGTGATTCCATTTCCTATTTCCGTTACTCTGCATTTGTGAACGCTTGCCCATATAACCATGTCTTGACTTGTCTCTGAAATATTAGGAGTGAAGGAGCCAATCTAATCTCCTTAGGGAGGGCGTTCCATAGCCGAGGGGCCACCACAGAGAAGGCCTTGTCTCTCGTCCCCGCCAAACATACTTGTGATGAAGGCGGGATCGAGAGCAGGGCCTTCCTGGATGATCTTAAAGTTAGTGTACTTACTTACGTTAGTGTATTTACTTACTTAGGTGATCTCTCATAGCCTGAGGATGATGGTCCTCCAAGTATAGTGTCATAGGTGGCCGTGGAGCCCTATTCTTGATCCATATGTTCCCTGCAGTGAGGACATTGGTTTCCAGGTGGAGTGTGGTCCTAGTCAGAGTTGGATTGATGTCCCTTCCTCTTTGCACATTTCTCCTTTTGTGGCTCTTTGAATCCTGCAGCACTGTTGGTCACAGCTGACCTCCACTTAGTGTGCCAGGGCTACCAGTTCTCGATATCTATGCCACAGTTTTTAAGGTTGGCTTTAAGCCCATCTTTAAATCTCTTTTCCTGTATACCAACATTACATTTCCCATTCTTGAGTTGGGAGTATAGTAACTGCTTTGGGAGGCGGTGATTGGGTATTCGGACAACGTTGCCAGTTCAGCAGAGTTGATGGCGTAGGAGCATCGCTTCAGTGCTGGTGGTCTTTGCTTCTTCCATCACGCTGTAATAATAGTAATAGTATAATTAGAATATTATCATGCTTATATTAGCTTCTTCGAATTCTGCAGCACTGTTGGTCACAGCTGACCTCCACTTAGCATGCCAGGGTTGGCTTTAAGCCCATCTTTAAATCGCATTTCCTGTCTACCAGCATTACGTTTCCCGTTCTTGAGTTGGGAGTAACCCCCAAAGCAGTTACTCCCAAAGTAACTGCTTTGGGAAGTGGTGATTGGGCATTCGGACAACGTGGCCAGTTCAGCAGAGTTGATGGCATAGGATCATCACTTCAGTGCTGGCGGTCTTTGCTTCTTCCAGCACACTGTAATAATAGTAATAGTATAATTAGAATATTCTCATGCTTATATTAGCTTAAGAGCGGTTTAAATGTCTCTTAAAAGGCACGTTATTTGTACTTTGCCGTGAAGACGGGACTCTCTGACCTTTTGCCAGTGTGTTATCCTGATATTAAAATGCACATGTACTTATGCAGACAAGAAAAAAGGAAAGGAAAAGAAAAGTTCTTCCTTTTTAGAAGCTCTTCCTTTGTTTTTATAAACCTTTGTGACCTCACATAATATAGTATGGAAATGCTAAATACAAAGAACTAGAACACCAAGGGGTCCTTTTCTCAAGGTTATTCCTGGAGATTTGGCTGCCCTTATAAATATTTAAACTGAAACGGGGTTTGATACAGGCTCTTCCTTGTGCTTCTTGAAAGGAAAGTCTGATTTTATGTTGTGTGTGTTCTTCTGATACAGAAGGAAGTTATGTGTAAGGGGAGGATCGGCTGTCCAGTAATTACAGCCTGCGACACATTTTTTTTTGTTTTGAGCATTTTTCTACATCTTCCACCCCCGAGTGATGTATCTTGACCCCACTTCATTAGGCAGAATATTCTAACACGCCGTAATGAATAAAGATGAACAAGACATTTTAATACACAGTCGTCACATTGAAACCAATTATACTTCAATAGACAAATGTTTCCAAATTTTAACTCTTCAATTAAGCCACATTGAGTCTCTTGGTGGTAGAAAGGCAGGGTATAAATTGAACAAATAAATAAATGTAAAGCACAATTCAAAGGTATATAATAATAATAATAATAATAATAATAATAATAATAATAATAATCCTTTATTTATACCCCGCTAACACCTCCTGAAGGACTCGGTACGGCTTACAAGAGGCCAGCATGACTGCATGGAGCACCGTTAGTTTCCTGCAGAATCAGTACCTATTGATCTACTCATATTTTCATGTTTTCGAACTGATAGGTTGGCAGAAGCTGGGGCTAACATTGGGAACTCACCCCACTCCCCAGATTCAAACCACCAACCTTTTGGTCAGCAAGTTCAGCAACTCAGTGGTTTAACCTGCTGCGCCACCAAGGGGCCCATACATAGATATCTCTATTTATGTACCCTATACAGTATACACAAAAACTCAGTATAATATCATAGAATCATAGAATCATAGAATCAAAGAGTTGGAAGAGACCTCATGGGCCATCCAGTCCAACCCCCTGCCAAGAAGCAGGAATATTGCATTCAAATAACCCCTGACAGATGGCCATCCAGCCCCTGTTTAAAAGCCTCCAAAGAAGGAGCCTCCACCACACTCCGGGGCAGAGAGTTCCACTGCTGAACGGCTCTCACAGTCAGGAAGTTCTTCCTCATGTTCAGATGGAATCTCCTCTCTTGTAGTTTGAAGCCATTGTTCCGCGTCCTAGTCTCCAGGGAAGCAGAAAACAAGCTTGCCCCTCCCTGTGGCTTCCTCTCACATATTTATACATGGCTATCATATCTCCTCTCAGCCTTCTCTTCTTCAGGCTAAACATGCCCAGCTCCTTAAGCCGCTCCTCATAGGGCTTGTTCTCCAGACCTTTGATCATTTTAGTCGCCCTCCTCTGGACACATTCCAGCTTGTCAATATCTCTAGACAATAACACAACAACGTATTTAAAATGAAGGCCGGGTCAAATGTAATGATTAAATGTTTTTTTTAAAGCTGGGCATGACAGGTGTAATGGATAGGTTTTTGGAGATAGGTGCGGTGTGCAGACAATCTTAAATCTCTAGTAAAGTGCATTTGGGACATGATGCTTGGAGTTTCCTATTCTGGGAAGGCACACTGGAACAACCACGTCTTCAAGCTCTTCCTAAAGACTGCCAATGTTGGGGCTTGTCTGATGTCCTTGGGGAGAGAGTTCCAGAGTCGGGGGGCCACCACGGAGAAGGCCCTGTCCCTCGTCCCCACCAATCGCGCTTGCGACGCAGGTGGGATCGTGAGCAGGGCCTCTCCAGATGATCGGAGAGATTGTGTGGGTTCGTATACAGAGATGCGGTCACGCAGGTAGGCTCCCAAACCATTTAGGGCTTTGTAGGTAAGCACCTGCACCTTGAATTGGGACCAGAAAATGAATGGCAGCCAATGGAGCTCCTTAAATATATTGAAGTTGATTCCATGGCAGTTAAAGTGGTGTCAAACTCCATTAATTGTACATTGTAGATGCATCCTTGGTCTGCTGATATAGCCTTCGAGAACAGTGGTCAGTCCAGTGTGGGGAGAAGAGTTGCTCTATGGAGGAATGAATAATTTATCCATCCATATCTAATACATGCAGATAATATAGTATGGAAATGTTAAATACAAAGAATTAGAACACTAAGGGAATTAGATACAAAGAATTAGAACACCATATATCTCACCATACACAAGGTAAAGGTAATGGTTTCCACTGACATTAAGTGTCGTCATATCCGACTCTGGGTACTGATGCTCATCTCCATTTCTAAGCCGAAGAGCTGGCGTTGTTTGTAGACACCTCCAAGGCCATATGGCCAGCATGACTGCATGGAGCACCGTTACTTTCCTGCAGAATTAGTACCTATTGATCTACTAATATTTGCATGTTTTCAAACTGATAGTTTGGCAGAAGCTGGGACTAACAGTGGGAGCTCATCCCACTCCCCGGATTCAAACCACCAACCTTTTGGTCAGCAAGTTCAGCAGCTCAGTGGTTTAACCCGCTGCGCCACCAAGGGGCCTATACATAGATATCTCTATTTATGTACCCTGTACAGTATACACAAAAACTCAGTATAATATATTTATTTATTCATTCATTTATTTACGACATTTAAATGCCTCCCTTCTCACCCTGAAGGGGACTCAGAGCGGCTTACAAGATATACATACAATATATTATATTATTAACATAGTACAATATTAGTATTATATATTACTATATTGTACTATACCATTATATTTAATATTATTAGTAATATTACATGTGATATAAAATTAATATTACCATATTAATTCTACCTAACTAGGGTCAAAGGACTTTGGGTTGGTTTCACATGCCCGTTCAATGTTGTTTTAAGTTAACTCTTCTTTCTGTCTCCACAAATTGTGGCAGTGCTCTCAAGGGACTCTGACGTATATTATGGAACGATGCAATGCAGTACTTGAGAACTTGCATACTGATGCGGAGTCGAGATGCCCATCTTTGAAATCACTGGATGTCAGAGATATAAAGAGAACGGGAGAAACACATAATGAGGTAAGAGGAGCTTGCATTTGTGGTGCTTCATTCAGTTGGAGAAGGTTGTAGCTAAAACATAGGACAACTATAACTCAATAGAACAGTGGTTCCCAACCTGGGGTTTGTGGATCACCAGTGGTCGGCAAGAACTAAATAATGGTCCGCGGCCTCACTGTCACTACACTGTTGCAATGAGAGCAACTGGTCTCATGAAACCCTCTTCTAGTGCCAAGGCTTTCTAAATATGATTTTCTGTAGCAAAGCAGATGGTGACTACTTGATGTCATATGTTCTGTATCAGAAACTAGAGCTGATGTGGTCTATCTAATGCAATTTTCTGAATCAGCACACCAAATCACCAAACTAAATCTAAAGTTGACCAAAAACCCTTTTGGTACTAATGTTGGAGAGTGATCCCTGGTCAAGTGGCCCCAGTCAAAGTGGTTCCTGGTAAGTGGTCCCTGGTCAAGTGGTCCCTGGTCAAAGTAGTCCAAGTCAAGTGATTCCTGGTTAAGTGGCCCCGGTCAAAGTGGTTCCTGGTAAGTGGTCCCTGGTCAAAGTGGTCCCTTGTCAAGTGATTCCTGGTCAAGTGGCCCCAGTCAAAGTGGTTCCTGGTAAGTGGTCCCTGGTTGAGTGGTCCCTGGTCAAAGTGGTCCCTTGTCAAGTGGTCCCAGGTCAAAGTGGTCCCTAATCAAGTGAACCCTGGTCAAAGTGGTTCCTGGTCAAAGTAGTCCCTGGTCAAAGTAGTCATTGGTCAAGTGGTCCCTGGTCAAAGTAATCATTGGTCAAGTGGTCCCTGGTCAAAGTGGTCCCTAATCAAGTGAACCCTGGTCAAAGTGGTTCCTGGTCAAGTGGTTCCTGGTAAGTGGTCCCTGGTCAAGTGGTCCCTGGTCAAAGTGGTCCCTTGTCAAGTGGTCCCTGGTCAAAGTGTTCCCTGGTCAAAGTTGTCCCTGGTCAAAGTCGTCCCTGGTCAGGTGGTCCTTGGTAAAAAAAAAAAAGGTTGGGAACCACTGCAATAGAGGATGCTACATTGAATGCTAAATGTCTCAAGTTCCTTCATAGCATTTATAGAGTCATCCGAACTCTTTCCTACTCTATATTTGTGCATTATTTTTATGGCCTTCCATTTGTACCTCTGAATCAAAACAATTGGCTCTCTTCTGCGCATGGACAACAAGTTGTCCATTTAGGGACTTTCAGCCACCCTCTCTATCCATTCCAGGGTTTTTGTCAGTATGGGGGTTAATTCCATTTGATATGAGGTGCCCCTCCCCATGATAAATCTCATCTTTGCCACACATGTGGCCCACTTCTCTGTGGTTTACGTTGCTGCAGAGACACGTTTCCTTTCTCAGTGATGGGTGTAAACGGGAAGCCTAGACATCTGCAGTGTTAATACAGATCTTTGATTCTTCCTTTTAAAAAAAAAGGAAAAGAAAAGAAGAAAAGAAAAAGACCGCATGCCTTTTGTACACTAATTATAGGGTAACGTTTGGAAGGTTCATGGCCTAATACGACTGGTATGTTGTTAATCTGCAAGGCATATGTTTGAAGAAAATCTCAGTTTTACATCCCGAATCCTAGAGATATTGCAGTGCTTTAACAAGATTTTCAAGGGTATGGGAAATTTTGCAGCTAAGAACAAAACAAAAAATGTAAAAGTAAGCTGTTTGTCTCTGTCTCGTACACATAGACATACTTAGAAACAAAATGAGTCTTTCTTTTCTTCTCCAGTCTTGTTATACAGTTGCACAGGTCCAACCTCTGAATGCCATCCCAAACACAACCAGTCTGGCCTTATCTGGAAATCTAAGTTATTATTATTATTATTATTGTTATTATTATTATTATTATTATTTCAAATATTTGTACCTCGCCCTTCTCAACCCAATTCACAAATTAAGCTCAGCACTTTGGATATATCTTTCAAAGTAGATTCAGTGTCCTGCTGACTCTTGAGCTGCCAACCACCATAGGTGTCGTCTATGACAGTGGTTCTCAACCTGTGGGTTCTCAGATGTTTTGGCCTTCAATTTTCAGAAAATCCTAACAGCTGGTAAACTGGCTGTGATTTCAGGGAGTTGTAGTCCAAAACACCTGGGAACTCACAGGTAGAGAACTATCATGTATCATGTTCTGCAGTTGATGGTGGTTGGTGGTGGTAGGCCTAGCAGCTGGTGATGGAAGGGTTAACGTAAGTCTTAGATCTAAAGGGTTGAGTAATCTATAAGTAAGAGTTCATGGGTGAAAGCAATTAAGGGTGGAGGTATGCAAGAGATGGGTTGCAGTTGGGTGTTTCTGGATATAAGGAGCTAGCCTTGGAACTGATCTTTGGGAGAAAGTGTTTGTTTTATTTTGGTGGTAGATGCTGCTGGTTTCCCCCTAGGTTTGTGGATTTTCAGTGTCCTGACTTGTTTCCTGAACCTTTGGAATCCTGGAACCTTGAATCTTGGACTAACTTTTGACTACGGTATAGATCCTTGATCCCTGCTTATTGAACTCCCAGCGTTTGACAACTGGAATGGACCTTTTGACTATGACGTTATCTTGAACCTGAAACAGTGTTTGCTGGTTTTGTTTTAATATTCTGTGGCTGAATTAAGTCTTTATGTTTTATATTTTGGACTATTAAAACAGCCAGAAAGTAAGTGCTGTTTTAATTAAATTGTTTAATATAAATTGAGTGATTGTTTGGTTCATCTCTACCTGAATAAGGCAGAGCCCTGGCAATGTGACAAGAACCACTGGTCTATGAGAAAACAATAACATGAAACAAGTGCTCTTCCCCAAAGTGTGTACCTCTTCCTACAAATAAATATTGAATAAAATATTTACCAGATTCAGGCTATTGCTGTTAGCTGAAAAGTGAAGTATTTTCTCTCTCTCTCTCTCTGTATGGGTGTCTATGAAACACAGAACTCTGTACTGTCTTCCTTGCAGAAATTGGACCCCTTTAATAGAAATTGCTACTCTTCTGTGCACGCATCTTTGTGCCTAGCATGTCAGTCCTTGTTTCTACCTTTTCCCTTCCAACTTTCCATTGACAGCCTGAAAGATTGGCCAGTCCATCTGCAAATTGCATTTGGCTGTACTTGGATCCTGCTACTTGATACCCTTTGACTTGAACACAATAATATACTTTTGATTTGAACTTGATGGAACTGTAGAGGGGAAAGATCATATATGGGTGGACTGTTTCATGGAGAACATAATCAAAAAAATCATAGATGAGCAGACCTGTCTCATACTCCTGTTCTAGGGTTGAAAAAGCTGCTTGAAATATTTGGTCGACATTATGTATTGTCATCAAAGAGTGGAATAAGGTTATTCTTGTAACCGCTGGGTGACTTGGTTGAGTTAGTGCGTTCTATGGAACAACCAAGAAGAAGCAATAGCCCACACTGTGGTTACAGAATGAATTAAGTTTACCCCTTCAAGCAATCGGGGGATTGTGTGGTCACTGGTAATTCACCTTGAAATATGTGATCTGGCACTGCAGAATAAAGGCTGAGTGGTTGATGTGGCCAAATACTTGAAGCAGATTTATTCAGCTGATGGAATGTGTCTAGAATGGTTCTCCTAGACAGTTGGAGAAAAAGCACTCATGGGTGAATGCCTTGAAATGGGGAAAAGAAAACACATCTGCCAAGCTAGATGGGCAGGTCAAGGAGAATACAAAAATCTTTTTGGCACAGAAGCAAACTTGAGCATTGTGTTCGCTATTGATTGCTGTGGTTACAGTCATATCCTTTCTGTCTTCCATTAAGCTCAAGGCCCAAGTTCTGTCTTTGAGGAAATGTTTTGGCATGTGTCATCAATTGCTTCTTTTTGGCATTCTACTCTGTCCCAATCCATTTGAAGGGAATGTCACTGTCTTCAGCTGAAGTTGTTGGGAATAGTGTGCTGGTGAAGTGAAAGCAGAGGACATAGTCCAAACCACAGTCAATCGATGCTGCTGCCCTCTTTGCATCCACCCTATGGAAGAAGCAATATTGAATGTGGGTCTGCTTTCTGTGACTTAGTGTGGTGCAGTAGTCTGGGCACTGGACTGTGACTCCAGAAACCAGAGTTTGAATCCACGCTCTTCCATGGAAACCCATTTGATGGCCCTCAGCAAGTCACCAGGAGGCAAATACAACTCTCCCCCCACAAATCTTGCCAAGGTGACCACATGATACAATCACATTAGGTTCACCATAAATCAGAAACAACCTGAAGCCATTGTTGAAGGCTTTCATGGCTGGAATCACTGATTTGTTGTAGGTTTTTTGGGGGGTATATGGCCATGTTCTAGAGTCATTCTCTCCTGATGTTCCACCTGCATCTATGGCAAGCATCCTCAGAGGTTGTGAGACCTCTGAGGATGCTTGAGACCTCATAACCTCTGAGGATGCTTGTCATAGATGCAGACGAATCATCAGGAGAGAATGCTTCTAGAACATGGCCATATAGCCTGAAAAAACTTACAACAACCAAACTTGAAGGCACATAGCAACAAAATGCTTTCTGAATGAGATGGGTAGCAGAATGGCTGGCACTTACTAATAATTCTGATTTTTAAACCATTATGGGTGTGTGTGTGTGTGTGTGTGTGTCCTGCTTTACTTCCAGTAGTGTACAGGTCTCTCATTCTCTGCAATAACAACCCTGGTGTCTTGAAACAGTGGCCCATAAATTTCCTAACCACTGCTTGGCAGCTTTGTTGCTTTTAACCCTGCTTCTTGGCGACTAGCTATTCTGACCTTGGACTGACTATGATTTACGACTCTATTTTACTGGCTTTGTTTATCTGGACTACTGACTTGCGGAATGACTTCTGGACTGTCTGACAACCACTCTATTGCTTCTTCCTTCATTCTGCTGGCTTTAATGTGACTGGCCTGAATTGCATTAACTCCTCAAGAATTTTTGTACTCCATTCTCCTGGTTCCTGGTTCACTTGCTGACTGGAACATAGGATAGCCACTATCCTAATCTTTGCATAACTCTTTTACAGTCCAGAGTTAAACTGGAACAGG